CAGTGCCGTGTTCTACCAGGTAAGGGGAGCCTATCCTTGTGCCCACAGCAGTTTCCCTCTTGGCTAAGTCCCCAGAGAACTGCAAAGCTCCAAGTCCCTGAGTAAGGTGGCTCAGCCTTAGCTTCTGCATGCTAAAGGGGTCACAAGAGCCGTGCATGTGCCCCTGGGGATACTGTGGGGTGGGCTGTGTTTTGTCTGCCTGTCCTCTTCCCGTGAGTGCCCAGGGAGATGAGAGTGGGCATCACAGTGTCTTTTCCATCCTCAATGCTGATCTGATTTTCTCAAATGGACCTTGTTCCCACAGCTCTATGATGACACCAAACAGCACAGTGAGGCTGATCATGCAGAGCTGACCCACTGCATCATGCTGCAGGGTAAGGAGAGGAGCTTTGGCAATGCTTGGCGGTGCCCTGGCCAAAACCTCTCTCACAATATTCAGGAATGGGCGTGAGTTGCTTGCTAACAAAGCATGGGATTTCCTTCCTGCAGCCCGGATCTGCCCCGAGGAAACGATCCTGTTTCTGCAGTCACAGCTGGAAGATGACTGGGAGACTGGATGCGTGGCAGCCCTGGATCTGCTTGGTGCTCTGGCTCGCTCTGATGGTCAGTACCACAGCTCAGGACTTCCAGGAATCCCTTCTGCCATCTGGGCTGTGGCTCCACTCATGTTTCTGCACATCTCTTGCAGAGCCCATGATGACGGAGAAGCTGCCCCAGGTTGTTGAGGCTGTGCAGCGTTTGTGCAGCGACTCCAGGATCCGGGTGAGCTGGTTTGGGAACGGAAAGTGCTGTGGGGGTGGTGATGCTGCTGTCAGCATGGACAGGGCTGGGGTGACCAGGGAGGTGCTGGGGCATTGACCACACTGTCGTGATGGTTCCTATGGGGAGAGCAGGCAGAGTGGAGCAGGCAGGTCCCTGTGCTGTGCATGGAAAGCACACAGCCTGGTGCTAAGGCCTGGCCCTGACCTCAGAAGCCAAAGCTTCTCCTCTGCTCTTGTCTCTGCTTATGCCCAAAGGGCTGCCCCAAAGAGCAGGTGGCTTCCCTTTGCCTTCTGACCAGAAATATCACACCCACAATTGACCCCTGGCAGGTGAGGAGGGCCATTCTGCATTTCGTTAATGATCTGCTGAATGCTAACACCCGGAGCTGCTCAGCTTGGGATGTGGTGGGGCACATTTTCAGTGAGTTCAGCCGCACTGCAGGAAGAAGGGTAAGGACAGTGGGCAGCATCTTCTTTTGGAAGACCTGTGCTGCTCAGAGGGTGGCACAGAACCTGAGAGGCTCATGAGAACGGAGCATAACCAGCATTTCAACACCACTGTTGTACAGGCAGCCGGAGACCTTTCTACCCGGGAAGCCCAGGAAGAAGGAGCTCTGCAGGAGCTATGCATGAACATCCTGGGGACACTGGATGTCTCTGTGAGAGGGATGTCCAAAGTAAGTCACACTCTGCCCTGCTGCTGCTCCTTGTCTTCGCACCACACGTTCCTCATCCCATTCCAACACCCCAGGTCTCTCTGAAGCACACAAGACTCAGGGAAATTGACAGAGTCCTCTTCATCTCTGAGCGGAGGCAGGAATGCTGACTTGCTCAATTGCCTTGCTCCTTACAGCTCCTGTGGCCGCGGCTGCTACTGTTTGTGGTGCCAGCTCAGTACACTGGCATGCTGATCCCGGTCTCCCGCTGTGTCCAAGCCCTGTCTAAGAGAGAGGACCTGACAGGACGGCGGATAGAAGATCTGGATCCTCATTTTATCAGCTCCGTGTTTCAAGGTAGGAGCAGAAACTCCCCCAGTGAGCTCTGCTGACCTGTGTTATCACCTAGAAGGGACAGCAGAGGTGCGCGTGGCTGGGCAGGGAGTGTCTTGGAGTCTTACTCAGCACTTTTTTCTCCTCGCAGGCCCAATGCTGACTCCTCAAACACTACTGGCGCGCCTGCTGGTGAGTAGATGCTCCAGAGGCCAGTGCCACGAGCCCCTAGGAGGAAGCAGCACAGCCATGGGCAAAGCTGTTGGCTGCTCCTTGCCTGCCAGAGCAGAGCCAAGCTGCTTCCCTCCTGGGGAGAAGCAGCTGCTCTTGCTGCAGAGGTGACCCTGCTTCTCCTTGCTCTCACTCAGGTGGTGGCAGGGAGTCCTGTTGCAGGCAGCGAACTCCAAGCCGCTGCCTTACTACTGATGAAAAACCTCCACAGCAGGTTCCACAGAGCTGTGGGGGCCATGTGGGCTACTGAGATCCCCCTGCTGCTGCAGTGCCTTGAAGGTAAAGTGCTGGTGGGGAGGGAGAGGCAGAGGCAGGGAAGGGGTGGACTGAAAATGCATCTCTGCAGTGTGGCAGAGGGGAAGCATTGTCTGCAGCCCAGTGCTTGCTCTGCTGCTGTTCCCATTCCAGGGAGACAGCACTGAGACCCGGGGACCTCTCCCCCAGGGATCTGCCCATTCCAGGACACAGATGGGCCCTTTACATCCCCTCAGACAGCAGTCCTGGAGCAGTTAGTTCTGTGTTCCTGCGGGGACAGTGTTTGTGGGGAGGGACAGGTCATTTGGAGGGGCTACGGGTCCCAGCTTGGCAGTGTCAAGTGCCCAGGCCAAGCCAGGTTTGCAGCAGCTCTTCTTCTGTGGCTTGATCCCAAGTAACGGTCTTTTGCTGTGCAGGGAAAGAGGAGAGCTTCCCGGACACTGCAGAGTTTGAGCGCCATCTGCTAAAGGTACAGCATTGCTGGGAGGCACGGTGCAGAGAAGTGCTTGCCTGCCCCAAGTAGCCCCACTCCCATATGAGCCACTGTGG